GGGAATTTTATATTTATTGAAGAAAATTAACAGACTCGAAAAATGAGTTTTGTCATAATAACTAGGTTTATAAATAGAGGCAAAATAGGTGACCTGATCTTGTAGGTCCAGAGGTAGAATTTCAGGTATGGGGCCATGAAGAAGCCACCACTGTGCAAACCAGGCAGGAATCTGGCTTTTGAAATTCTTATCGAATTGAATGAACCAGGAATGAGTTAATGACTCATCCTGATAGAGGAGAAGTTTATTCCATGATTCAATGTAATCATAGTAATTAAACTTCTTTTCATATCCCTCGAGATCTTTGAGCAAAAAAGGATAAGATCCCCATTCTTTGAGAGAGATGAATTTTAGAATATATAGTGAATGATATATTACTTTACTTGGGTCATTTCTATCAAATATGAGTTTGATATGAATAGACTGGGTAAAGAATAATATATCTTGATAAAAAGTAAATGTTTTTTCTGGGTCAGATGGGATAAAGTTTCATCCTGGTTCCAAATAAATATTTACTATATCTTTTGGGTTGCTTAGGTGAGCATGAATGAGTTCAATGACAAACACTGTAATGGGTTCACCTTTCTTAGTGTATTCAGCTTTTGGACCTTTGTGGGCTAGAAAAGCTGGCTTGGGCTTAGAAGTTGGGTATGGAACAACTAGTTGACTTGGGGCATCTAACTGTGGGCTTGAAGAACTAATTGGTTCTTTTTGGGCCATTTGAAGAAAAGTGGATGAGGCTACCAAGGTAGACTGGGCCACTGGTCTTACTGGATTAGATTTACCAAGAGGTTGGTAACGATTAACAATTTGGATTGGGCTTGACAAGACTACTGGGCTTGGCAAGGGTAATTAGGTTTTTTTTTTCCAGTATCTCTCCTGGCTTTGGAAGAGGTACTAGCCTTACTATTTTTCTTGTCCGTCTTGATATTCCTGGAAAAATTCACGGGTTAGGAAATCAGGGATGCAGTTATTACTGCCTTTAATATATTCGAGATCAAAATCGAAAATACTTAAGATAGACTGTCATCTGGCAAAAATCTGCTTACTAGCAATGTTTTGTACATCATTTTTCAAAACATATTTTGCAGATTTACAATCAACTCTGACTAAGAATTTTTGATTTAATATATCATCTTGGAATTTAGAGATACACAGGACAATAGATAAAATTTCTTTTTTAATAGTACTATAATTCCTTTGTGCATTATTCTAGATACCAGAGTGAAAACGAACAATTTGTTCTGGAGAGTCTGAAGTGAGCTTTTGAAGGAGGATACCACCGTAGCCAATGTCGGAGGCATCAGTTTGGATGATTTTAAAAGAATCAACAGAAGGAATACCAAGGCAAGGCAAAATTTTGATGAACTTCTTGACTTGTTGAACAATAATGTATGAACAGAGGTCCAAGGAGGAGGATTTCCTTTGAGTCTGTCATACAGAGGTTTAACGGTTTTTCTAAGATCCTGATAAAAGTCAGAAACATAATTTTGGGAACCTAAGAACCTTTGTAACTGGGTTTTATCCAAAATCTCATCAGGGAACTTATCTGCAAATTGGATAGAACGACTGATGGGAATAATGGTTGAGTACTGGATGTTGTAACCAAGGAACCTTACTGAGGTTTGGAACAACTTAATTTTAGCTGAGATGACTAGACCATTGTGCCAAACTATCTCAAGAAAAACATCGAGATGTTTCCAATGTTCTTCTATGGACCTGGAGAAGATGAGTATATCATCTATATAGACAATAGAAAAATGACTAATGCCATTGAAAATTTCATTCATGATATTTTGGAATTCACTAGGTGCATTTTTTAATCCAAAGGACATTACATTCCATTCATAATGACCAAAAAGAGTTGTAAATGCAGTCTTATATCTATTTTCTGGAGATATAAGGATTTGCCAGTAACCACTTTTCAAATCAAATTTAGAAAAGATTACTAAATTACTAAGTCTTTTAATTAAATCCTGTTTATTTGGAATTGGGTACCTGATCCTTTCCAAAACAGTATTTAATGGTTTGTAATTGATTACTAATCTTGGTACGCCTCTTTCTAATTCTACATTTTTGATGACATAGAAAGCTGGACATGACCAAGGAGATTTGGATTTCCGAATGATACCATTATGAAGTAATTGGGTAATCTCTTTTTTGCAGGTTTCCATTACTTCATGGTTCATTTGGATTGGTCTGGATTTAGTAGGAATATTTGTCTCACTAAATCCTTTTATGTATGGAAGTTTTACCATATGTTTCTTCCTATGCTAAAAATCTGTAGGAAGGTTAGAACATACTTCTTCTTTCAATTTTAACCTAAATTGCTCAATTTTTTCAATTAAGATTGGATTTGTTAATTGTTCTTGAATTCTCTTATGGTTAATTTCATCTTTGAGAAATTTTACCTGTTGAGTTTTTTGATTGATTACATTAAGATGCTGAGAGACTGAGTGGTCTCTTAGTTGTCTTAATGTCTTAGTTTCTGGTTTACTAATAAAATTGAAAGTTACTGATTGACCAAATGGTTTAGTGGTCACTCCCTTAGTATCTGTTGTAAATGGGTACAACAAGTATACAAATGGTAATCCAAGGATGACCTCACTAGTCATATTCTGTACTAGGACAAAAGATGTTTTGAAACATACATTGTCTTGACTAATATGAACATTTGGCAATTTGTATTTAACTTTCATTTTACTTCCATTTGCCGAGCTAAGTTTTTCAAGCGTTTTTTGATAATACTTAGTCGGTATTATTCCTTTTTGAATACAGTTAACATCTGCACCTGTATCAATAAGGGCAACAGTTTCAAGTTTAAAATCATTAATGATGATTTGTACTTGAGAATACCATTTCTGAAAATTAATCTTGTTAACCAGATTAATTCTGTAACTATCATTAGTTTGTAAACACCCATCGTGAGATGACAGCTTCGTTACACCTGAATTTTCCACTAAAGAGGTGGAGGTTACAGGTATCCGCTGTAATTGTGTTCCATCCTGAGATTCTGTCTTAGATTGATCATTAACTAATGGCTGTTTTTCAGGATTAAAATCCTTTGTAGCGCCAAAGCTATCTGTGTGTAAAAAACTTAAAGCTTCTGCAAATTTTTTGTCTTGAGCTTTTAGTTCTTTAATTTCAGATTTAATTTTATTAACTTCAGCTTGAAGATCTTGTAAAGTGAGTTCCTTCTTTTTCTCTTTACTAAATCTTTCCATAGCTGTATTGAAGCTAATAAGTTGCTTACTACTGGAAGCATTTTTACCATCATTTTTTATTAGAAGTTCTTTGAGTTTTTTAACATATTTGATTTTTAACTCAGGGTCTTCTATTTTACTGATTAACTCAATGAAAATGTTTTCTTCTTCATTCTCTTTGGTTATTACATTAATTGTCTTACAGAGACAACTATCTTTGCAACCTATCTTAATGTTAGGTTCGCTAGGATTGTCAGATGCTGAGAGGTACTCAGATTCAGTTTCAGAACTACTATGGGAGTCTGAACCTTATGTATCCTGATTGTTTAGCCTGAAGATTTTAAGAATTTCTTCTTCTTCTTGTGGGGCTAAATTTAATTTTTTTAACTTGTTTTTTAATTGGGCAATTATGACTAATATGACCTGTTTTTCCACAGTTAAAACATTTAACATCTTTATCTTTTTTGGACTTAGATGTACTAGCATGTTTTCCAGGTTTTTTCTTATAAGTTTTATGCTTATAATGTTTCCTAGAATTTTCATAAAAATCGGGTTTGCTAAAAGTCTTTTTATTCCTAGAATAATGACTTTTGCTTTTACTATATGGTTTATGGGTTTTGTGTTTTCTGGCAATAGATGGTGCTACTGAAGGGAGGCCATATTGTTCACAAAAATTTTCCATTTCATATTTGGCTTTTTTCTTATCATTGGCAAGTTGCTTACTGAGCTTCATGTCAATACACATCTTAAGGCCTTCCTTTTGGATGGTACTAACAATATTGCCATAGGTGAGGGAATCATATTCAATAATCCCCGTGTCTTTACTAAGTGCATCCCTAATCTTATGTGCAAAGAGATTTGGGAGGCCATTAACAAAATTTTCTTTCCAGAAAGATTTATTGCAATCTGGGCGAAGCATGACTCTAGAGATAAATACATCTTTGTACCATCTAAAGTCACTGAGTGTTGGGCACCTTAGGTTACTAAGCTGATCATGGATTCTAGCTTCAATATTACTAGGTGTACCAACAAAATGATTAATAATGGTATAAATGAGGGTATTAATACCATCAAATTTACCTTTACCAATGGTTTGATCAAAAACTGGCATACCATCATCATCTTTGACAACAGCATACTTGATTTCATCTCTGGTTTCTTGTGTGAGATAATTGTCCCACCAACTACGTAACATACTAGTAAATCCTGAAGTGATAATGTCAACAATCTCAGGTTCTTCTTGGTCAAGATTTGTTACGTAACTGTTGATAACCATAGACATATGATTGATCTTATTCAGAATATTATTTTACTTGGGTCATTTCTATCAAATATGAGTTTGATATGAATAGACTGGGTAAAGAATAATATATTTTGATAAAAAGTAAATGTTTTTCTGGGTCAGATGGGATAAAGTTCCATCCTGGTTCCAAATAAATATTTACTATATCTTTTGGGTTGTTTAGGTGAGCATGAATGAGTTCAATGACAAACACTGTAATGGGTTCACCTTTCTTAGTGTATTCAGCTTTTTGACCTGTGTGGGCTAGACAAGCTGACTTGGGCTTAGAAGTTGGGTATGGAACAACTAGTTGACTTAGGACAACTAACTGTGGGCTTGAAGAACTAATTGGTTCTTTTTGGGCCATTTGAAGAAAAGTGGATGGGGCTACCAAGGTAGACTGGGCCACTGCTCTTACTGGATTAGGTTTACCAAGAGGTTGGTAACGATTAACAATTTGGATTGAGCTTGACAAGACTACTGGGCTTGGATATATATATATGTCACTGGGTAGTTTATTGTGCAACAAACTTTGCCCTTGTGGTAGACAGTGAAATGCTATGGAGGTCTGATTTTTCTCCATGGCTGCTACTACAAGAGGTTCCACAGGGTAGTAGACCAGACATGGCATTGTATGCAATTGTTGCGATGAGTATATTTGCAGCCTCAGTAGGATGATATCCATCAAAGTAAATGTACTCGTCGCGATTACTGCATGGAACTTGCTGGGGAATACATTGACCTTTGCCCATAGTAGTCGATACATTGCAGCATGGACCGTCTGCTACTGTAAAATCTGAAATCGAAATTTGAATTTAATTAGTTCTAAGTTATCAAATTCAATAACTTATTGAAAAATAGAAAAGATTAAATTCAATGAGATTTAAAAAAATGGATTGATTCCACTAAATTGTAACTTGATCTGATTAAGTTATGATTTTTGATATGATACTAAAAAGTAACACCCGAGACTCTAGTTATGTGCATTGGTTACACAAGCAGCAAAAAAGGCCTTTTAGCGTAAATTACATTTTGATGTCCTTAATTATGCCTTTAATTATCACAATTCACAAACTATGCACTTGCCACTATTGCAGTTGGTCTCACATTACCCCCCATGACTTGTTACATTTCTCACATTGCACCATTAGTTTCACATTGTCCCATTTGAGAACTTAAAAACATGTTTTTTTTTGTTCAACGGTCAGGAGCGTCCGGACCAGCTTACGTGTACCTTGACTAATTCCCTCCCCGATTCGGTCAAAGACAGGTCATCCATGCCGGAACTAGAGTATTTATGAGGGATAAATCTTTAATGACTTGGTCCCAAGGGTTATCAAGATTCGGACTCAAAATGTCTGGGTTTGTAGCTCGTTTTTGTTATTACTTGAACTCTCTTTTGGGGTTATTAAAAAAAAGCGTATTTTACTACACCTATGAACATTTTCTGCCCAAAACACAATGAACGCTTAATTTGGAAGCAATGTGAAACAACTTCAATTAGTTGAGGGGGCAACGTTAGAAAGTCAACAGTTGAGGGGGGAAAGTGTGATTACGTCATAATTAAGGCAACCAAAATATAATTTTCCCATGTAGAAAAGTTGAAATAACATACCATTAGATGGAGAAACCTGGGATGAAGAACCAGATGCATAAATATAGGAAAATTCTACATCAGTTAGCTTGTTCTTGAGGTCATCAACAAGCAGCTCGAGTTTGTCATTGAATAGTTGGGCTGCACTGTTCATCATTTCCACACATGAAGATTCATTTGTGCCATAGGTAGTCAAGGCTTCTGGAATGCAACCCAGTCGACCAGCTCCAAAAACAGCTATTTTTCTTGCTCCATACTTGTACAAAGTCTAAAAAATAAAGAAAATAGCAGTAAATACCACCTTAAAGACCCCTTTAGAACATGTAAACAAGAAATTCAAAAATATTTTTTTAAAAAGGGAAATAATATGTATCCCAAATTTGGAACCCAAATTTACATCCCAAATGAAGGGAACCATTAGATGAGTGAGTCCCATCAATTTTTTTAAATCGGACTCATTGATTCAATGACCATCCTTCATTTGGGATGCAAATTTGAGTTATAGATTTGGATTATATAGCATTGCTCTTTTAAAAAAGGACAAGTTACATTTTGACACCAGAAAAAATTAATGCATCAATACCTAAGTAGAGATACGATAGAATCCAAATAGATATTTCATCGATATCTAAGCATGTTAAGATAAATACAGATAACGATAGGAATGTATGATATATTTTTATCTTATATAATTCTCATCCTATAAAAAGGGTTGAGCTCCATGTAATCAATCACATTCAATAATACATCGATGTAGCTCATAGGACGTTAGGTCCATGGATGTAGGCAATTTTCCGAATCACTTAATCCTTTGTGTTTTGTTTTCTATCATTATTTATTTATTTTGTCATCAATCTCTCTTATATTCTAAAATTCTAAAGATCTCACTTTGTTCTAAAACCATACGTCTGACATGTTTTGAACGAAAAACGTCTAAAAGTTTTACTATAATACGCATTTCCAATATATATATTGAGGGTATGATAAATGTAAAAACAATAACCATATATAGTCAGGGATGCAATGCAAGAAAAGTGATAACTAAGGGAATAATATGAAACCAATAACAATATCGGGAGATGAAATTTTAGAACTTGATAGTTGAGAGGAATTGTGAAACAGAGGACGTAGTTGAGAGGATAAAAGTGTAATTTATCCTTAGAAAATGAGATAAAAACTCTTATACTACTGACCTTTAGCTGCTGTGAGTATTGTTTAACAAGTACTTTGGCATACTGCTTTGGTGTATATAGGCTGCTCGTTGGGTAAAACTGTGGCATGAAGTAGATGTTGAGATAGTCGTTATTGCCCATTCCAACTGTATATAAGCAGCTGCTTAGGTACTCTTTTGCTAAAGCTTTACTCCCTAGTAAGGTAGCAATGTGCCGAATTGTGATTTTATGATTTGATAACTGTGCATTCAAGCTTATCCGAGCACCCTGTGGGAAGACAACAGAGTCAAAGTTTGTGGGGGGTGTTGCAAGATTGGAGAATGGGTGTATGGTAACCCATACACATCTCATGTTGTTTGGTGAAGTGTGTATGAAGTTTTAATTGATACATGTTATTCAACAAGCATTAAAGCCTCGTTTGATTTTTAGCATCAAAAAAATTCATCGCTGAAAGTAAATAATTCATCAACAAATTTTGAAATATTTGACTACCAACAAAAATATCATCACTAAAAATAGAGAATTAGCAACCAAAACTCAGCTGCAAAAAAATTCATCTGGTTGTCACCAAAACAACCTTCGTAGTTGAAAGAGTTTTGACTGTGGTCACATTTTCTTTTTTTGGTGATGAAATAGTTTTCATTGCTGAAAGCTAGTAAAAGTAAGGACAATTTAGAACCTGGTATAATTTTTTAGATTTATTTAGGCAAAAGTACAACTCAAAAACTTATTTTGGGTAACGTGAATAGTTTTTTTAAAATACCACTATTGTCATTGGTAACTAGTAAATATATGGAAACTCATATCTTTCATCCGTTTTTTTGGCTAAAATCAAATAAGAGGTACAATAGGGGGTTTAATTATCAAAACTCATCTTCTTCGACAGGGTGATTGGAATGCCAAAACTGTGATTGTTCATCGTTCAAAAAAAAGAGAAATATGAGTTACTATTCATCATAAAAAAAATGAGGAATTCGAGTTACTGTTCATCGTCCAAAAAAAAAAAAGAATACGAGTTACTGTTCATCGTGTCCTATGGTCAAGTAACTTTGAATCATCTTTGACAACTTCTTCACCAGAAATTGCAGGTGACATTCATTTTTGTTTTTTTGTCATTCATTAATTGCAAACTGTTAATATTCAAAAATTAACGGTTGAAACTATATTGACACAGTTACACCAATTAAAAACACAGTTACATCCATTAAAAAATAGTTACACTCATTAAAACATAGTTACACCCATTAAAACAAAATTAGTTTTTTTCTCCTTTATTCCAACATCGAGCAAACATAAAACAAAATCGAATACAAGAATTTCATCAAAAAAAATTATCGAATAAAAGAAGAAATATCAGTTGAACACGTTAAAGAAGACTTATCAGTTGAACACGTTGAAGAAGATTTATTAGTTGAACACATACATTTGATTCAAAAAAATAAAGATAACAAATATGTAAAGATTACATATTTGTTTCCTAAAATAACTATTAAGAGATGCATAAATCTCTCACAAAATTACTCATTCAAAATTCAAAAATTAAAAAGATAACAAATATGTAATCTTTATATATTCTTTTCCTAAAATAACTGTCAATCATGGCTACATAAAATAAGGAAGGGTGTTTAAGTAAAAAAAATTTAATTCATTTGAATTTTGTACATAAACAAAAAAATTTTTATAAAAATTGTATTTAATAGAATAAACCATTTACCCATAAACTTTTGCTCAAATAAGTATTGAAAATTGTTCCCACACCTAAAAAACCCCTAAAAACCTTGGGCTTATTAATTGAAACACCTAGGCCCAAGGCCTGAACACGAGCTAGCCCAATGAGGTTTTAACGGGTTAAAATTCAGCATGGTTCCTAAATGGGCCTTAACTGGGCTACTGGGTTATAGCCCATTGGGATATCTGATCCTAACTTTCATGCCCAACCCACCAGGCTAATGGTCCACCCACGACTCTGCCTAGATCCCAATTAGTCCGGTGGGTTGTCGGGTCGTCGGGCTGCTCATCACGCCTTGAGTATTTTGCTGATCATTAATAAAAACTGAAAAATATTGTGCAATACGAATTCAGGGGATGTTATAAGGTCTGGGGAATACCAATTGTTGTCCGGTTTCATCTCGAATTCCAACTGACTCAGATCCATAATTCACACCTTTGAGAATATCCTGGCCTCTTGCAGTTGCAAATGGAGGAATGTAATCATCAAAGCCTAGAAGTTCAGCTGTGACCATTGAGTGTTTAATTTCAATCAGTATCATAGTTATGGCTATCAACTACTACCATTAAACTTCAGCAACTTCATGAAGCATGTGACTTATATGTAAAACCTAAATATCAAAGTTGCAGTTGATTATTTAATGATTATTCTAGTTTTAGTAGCTTTGAACTGCTCACTTCACCCTTAAACTATTGAATTACTAACTTCACCCAAATGTTTGTTATCATCAAATAGTTCATCATGGGTATAATGGGAATTTGGTAACGGTGTTTTGTCAGGAACATAATAGTTGATGACAATGATGAGGCAATACCAAGGGAAACACCATAGTTTAAAGGGGATAAATTATATTTTACCTCTTTGAATTATTATCTTTATTTTACTTTGCACCCTTAATTATAAAATTCTTACATTTTATCTTAAAATATTAATTTTATTTTATATCACTCCAATAGATAACGACTGTTAATTTTTGACGGTAAATGCACATATGAGTGGTTTGTAACTTTGTATTGCTAATAAGCAACTGTCAATTACACATGTGTAGATCAAAAAATAAGAAAAATACTCATTCATGACTTTACCTTTCCTAAGCTCCAAATTTTTTTCTTCTGACCAACTTTTTTTTTCTTCCCAGCAACCATTTAGTTACAAAAGAGGTTAAATAAAATGGTACTATCTACTAAGCAGTTGGTGGTAAACTCTTTGGGATTTTTCTCCCTCATCTGATATATTTTCAAGTTTGCGGTTATTTATTAAAGTGGTATAAAATGAAATTGATGTTTTAGAGTTCAATGTTAGAAATTTTATAGTTGAGGGTGTAAAAAGTAAAATTAAAATAATAATTCAGGGAGCAAAGTGTAATTTACTCTTTCAAGGGTCAACGTATAACTTTCCCATAGATGAAGTTAGGTGGGAGAAGTGGGGTGGATAAGAAACATACCCAAAATGTCGGCCATATTCCGGCAGTTGGTGAATCTGCCGGTTGGACCATCGGGAAAATCAATTCCATAGGGAGGAAAATTGGCTCTGGCCTGAGTCAAAAGGTCATTGTTGTTGCCATTATCCACCAATGAGTCTCCAAAAATGAAGTAACAAGGGACTTGTGATTCACCACAAATCAAAGGTTTCAAATTCAGAAACAACAACAGTACTGTGGAAACTATACACCAAACATTACACCCACATGCCATTGTTGAAGTCGAAGAAAAGAAAATAAGGAAAGGAAAGTAGGTGGAGAAGAGGAAGGAGAGGGAGGAAAATTTGTATGAGTAGAAAAGGAAATCCGAAGGAGGAAATATATATAGCCAGTGGAATGGAGGGTAGACAAGTTTGAACGATGATGGACTGGGAGCTGTTGAAGGGCCACTTCCTTTTTGCACAAATCAGTAGTTTCACATGGCATAAATATGTGTAAAAGGAAAAGTTGTGTTTCTTGGGTCCAATCAAATGGATTTAAATCCTCTATATTATATATTTTTTTAAGAGCAATAGTACGTAAACTTAAAAATTAGATTTAATAATTTCAACTATTGATTTTACTGTAAATTCCAGTATTTATTGAGATCCACTACCTATTTAATGGTTGAGATTATCAAGTCTAAATTTTAAGTCTAATTTTTAAATCCATCTAGCATTACTCTTTTTTTAATTTTACTCAATGATATTGGTAGATGGAGTGTAGCTAGGCAAGTCAACATATCAAGTTTATATTGGATTTT